TTTCTAGTGAATCACAAAATTTTGAAGAAGCAGCTAAAGAGAAAATTGGGTAAATTCCATGAAAGAAGAAATTTATTTTCTAGTGAATCACAAAATTTTGAAAAAGCAGCAAAAGAGAAAATTTGGATAAATACCATGAATGAGGAAATTTATGTCATAAAAAAAAAATACATGGGAATTAGTAGATCACCCAAAATGGAAAGAAATAATTGAATTGAAATGGATTTACAAAAAAAAAATTGAAGATGGTTCCATTCAAAAACACAATGCTCGACTAGTGGCAAAATATTATTTACAGCAACCTGGAATAGATTTTAATGAAACTTTTGGCCTTGTTGTCGGAGTGAAAAGCATTCGAACTATTTTGACCATATCTGCCAAATTAAAAATTCCAGTTTTTCAGTTGGATGTAAAGTCTGCTTTTCTGAATGGGGAACTTGAAGAATACGTATATGTTGAACAACCATTAGGTTTTATTGTAAAAGGAAATAATTATAAACTAAAAAAGGCATTATATCCGCTAAAACAAGCTCCAAGAGCTTTGAATAGCAAACTTGATAAATATTTTCAAAAAAATGGACTTGAAATGAGCCCAAGTGAACCTTCATTTTATATAAAATGATGAAGTGAAATTTCATACAATAATTGTATGCCTTTATGTGGATGACTTGATATATGCTGGTACAAACCAAAAAATGGTGGAAGAGAAAACCATGATGAAAGAATATGAAATGACTGATTTAGGAATCATGAAACATTAGTCTGGAAAAATTTTTATCTCTTAAGAAAAATATATTAAAGATCTGTTGAAGAAATTTAGAATATCAAATTGCAAGTCAGTGAATACTCCAATGGCATTGAATGAAAAACTGTCAAAATACGACGGTGCATAAAATGTTGATGCAACGATTTATCAAAGCTTCGTTGGATCTTTAATTTATTGGACTAACACAAGGTCAGACATTGTGCATGCAGTCAGTATTTGCTCTAGGTTTATGAATGAACCAAGTAAAGTGCATTTTGCAGTAGCAAAAGGGCTTTGAGATATATCCAAGGAACAAAGAAGCAATGTATCAAATATATTTATGAAAATGATACTAATCTTGTTAGATTTTCTAATAGTGATTAAGTAGGTTTTATTGATGATTGGAAAAGTACTTCCGGCTATATGTTCTGCCTAGAAATAAAAGTGATATCGTGGTCATCAAGAACACAAAATATTGTGGCTCTATAATCAGCAGAAGCTGAATATATCTCAGCAACAAGTGCAACATTTAATATTGTTTGGGTCAAAGAATTTTATCAGACTTGCAGCAAAAGCAAAATTACCCTATACCATTTTTTTGTAAAAACATGTCAGCAATTGCCATGAAAAAAAAAATCCAGTCTTTTACAGCCTATCAAAGTATATTGAAATTCGACATCATGTCATCCGGGAACTAATAGAAAAAAAGAGGAATGGAGCCAAATATCATCAACACTAATTACTAGCTTGCAGACATCTTCACGAAGACATTTTCAACTGACAAATTTGTCATGTTTAGAGATATGATGAGAGCGACAAATGAATGGAGGATGTTAAAATTTTAATTTGTCATATGTCATCATGACATCATCATTTCATTCTCTCTCTACTATTCTTCACTTACTAGAAAAAGAAAACAACAAAGGCGGTGATGAAAGTAGAAGCTTCAAATGGCGGTACTTGTATTTACTTGGTGATGAAGTGAAGTGATGGACAAATGAACATCATAAAAAACCGTCTAGTATGGCTGTGGGAAAATGCTATGAGTTAAATGACGGTGTAAATTGGCAGTCACAAAAGGCTATAAAATGGGGCGCACATCTGAAAATCCAAAGATATATAAAAAAACTCAAAAGAATACGTGTGGTCCTCAAGACCATACTAATTTATTGTAAACCTTATTATTTTGTATTTCAATTCATATTGCTTCCTCTTCACTTCTACTATCATTATTTGCTATTTTTTTAATAAATTTTAGTATCAACACTTCAACAAATTTCCAACACTTACTACTATGGATCACGCTCAGAGGCTGAACTTCTAGCTTCCTTTCGTGGTGTGTCACTCATATTGATGTTGATCAAAATTTGGATGCTGTAAATTTTAATTTTATTTTTTAGAGATTGGGTAGACTTTTTATTTTATTTTTATTAGAGTTAATTATTTTTTTAGAAATAGGATTGGTATGAGTTTTTTTAGTTTAATTGATAAAGTTTGTTTTTTATGAGTTGGCTTATGAAGGTTGAGTTCTATTTTGTGGTCCGTATTTTATTAGGAAAGTAGAGTCATCTTTTTCCTTTTGGAGTCTTGTTTTAAAAGCAAATAAGAGATGAGATCGTCGTTTGTGGTAGGAGTGGGCATAGGAGATCACGTTTAGGAAAACTTATCTCTCGTATTAGTTGGGACTTCAAGGTGTTTGTATTTAGTTTTTAGGAAATACATTTTGTTTCCTATTTTAAAAGGGGTGTTATCTTTTTGTGTTGGGTTGAAAGGGAAAATAATGAGTCACATAGGTAGAAAGGACGAAGTTGAAAATTATAGTTGTGTTTTAGGAAGTTGGATGGAAGAATATGGAAAGAATCTAGAGGTAGATTTATTTTTGTAAATTATCATATTTGGTTTTAGTAGGGAGATATATTAGGGATTATCTTTTAAGAGCCACGTGATATTTATGTTTTAAATGTATAAAAGAATGAGCCACACACCATGCAATGGGAGATGGGAATTTTATGAAATAAAGAAAGTTTTCTTTAGAGAGAGATCCTTTGTGGGTGTTGTTTTTTCTTTTGAGTTTGGTTCGTGCCGAAATACTCGTATCCGCACATTTTGTTCTTTCTTCTTGTGATTTCCTTCACAATTTTTATTTCTCTCTCTTAAACGCAATTATTTTGGCAGGGTGGTATTCACCGATAAATTTTATGCATCAGGTGGTATCAAAGCATAGTCAATTCTTGTGGATCGTTGTGTTTGTTGATTGGCTTCATGGCTCATGGACAAGGTCTTTGGTCGGGCATCGAGACTCATCCCATCCAGCAAGAACGAAACCTCTGAGATCTCTAAGAGCTTGAGATCAAAATTTTGAGAAGGCACGTAGAGGTACTATGGCGCAAAAACTAGCTTCAACATACTATGATGACGGTAGTGAGTCGAATGTAATTTTCGAGAACCCGTTCTATACCAACACTTTGTGTTGGGAGCCTCATGGTCATGAGAATGATCTATTTCCTCATGGTCGGGAGATTGATCTACCTAAGTTTGACGAAGAACCAGTTGCAAATGAAGAACGTGTAGTTTTGGATCTTCAATTAAAATCATCATTCTTAGATGTCACAGGTTACGCAATCTTTGATGAAGTTCTTGTTTTTTTATAAAAAACAAGATATTGGAGAGGTGGAACTCAAGATGTTGACTTGAACCCGGAGGAGATTGAGCCTTTGGAGATGTATAATAAAGAAACATAAGCAAATGTGATGTGTCCTAACGTGAAGTTTGAGCAATTTTAGCAAGTTGATGTGGTTGGAAAATCAACATACAACGACCCTTTCCTCAAAGATTTTTTAATTTCAATGCACAATGATTGCATCGTTTTAATTAGCGTAGAAACCCACAGGTCACAATATCATGTTTGTAATCTTCGAGTTAAAGGTCGGGTTCAAAAAAGATATAATGAAAATTTGATTTTATCATATTTTAAAAATCGATGACGAGTTTTCAGTCACCAGGGAAGAATGATGCATATCAAAATTTGGATTCTGTAAATTTAATTTTATTTTTATTAATTTTATTTTTTAGAGATTGAGTAAACTTTTTATTTTATTTTTATTACAGATAATTGTTTTTTAGAAATAAGATTACTATGAGGTTTTGTAGTTTAGTTGATAAAGTTTGTTTTTTATGAGATGTCTTAGGAAGGTTGAGTTCTATTTTGTGGTTCCTATTTTCTTAGGAAAGTAGAGTCATTCATTTTTCTTTTGGAGTCTTGTTTTAAAAGGAAATAAGAGATGAGATCGTTTTTTGTAGGACTCCGGATATGAGGTCATGTTTAGGAAAGTTTATCTCTCCTGTTAATTGGGGGTACAAGCTGTTTAGGAAATATCTTTTGTTTCCTATTTTAACTGGGGTGTTATCTTTTTGTGTTAGGTTGAAAGGGAAAATAATGAGTCACGTAGGTGGGAACTTGGTTAATTATGTTTTAGTAGGGAGATATATTAGGGATTATGTTTTAATTATGTTTTAGTAGGGAGATATATTAAGGATTATCTTTTGAGAGTCACTTGAGATTGAAGTTTTAAATGTAGAAAATGAGGCATGCACCATGTAATGGGAGATGGGAATTTTATGAAATAAAGAAAGTTTTTTTTAAAGAGAGAGAGGCCCTTTGTGGGGTTGTTTCTTCTCTTGAGTTTAGTCCATGCCTGAATATCCATATTCGTATGTTCTATTTCTCTCTTAAACGCGGTTATTTTGCCGGGGTGGTATTCGTTGGTAAATTTTATACACATAGTCACATATGGCGCAGGTATCTGGTCGGAATTGTACTCACATATGACTGTTTATCGGTTGCATTAGTGACCGGAGCCTTTCTTAATGGCACAACTATGTTTGGCTTACCTCTTAGATAACTGGGTATTGTTACTCTATTTATGACATTGTTAAGTTACTCTTATGAATTAAAATGTGATGTCATGTTAGTGAAAACGACGTTATTTTTCCGTATGATAGAAGTACTTTCCCGTTTAGAATAGCAATCTTCTTCACAACTAAAATCACCAAATGAGTGCTTGGATTGCCAAAAAAACTATAGTATTGCGCACGATTCTATCAAGTTATTAGCTTTTGAGGAAAAAGTTAGCATAAACACATAAGAACATGCTTTTCTAGGTTTGAAAGATCAACACAAGAGGAAAACAATTTATGCTTGTGAGATCATCAGAAAAGAACTATGTCAAGGAAGAGAGAGAAAGAGGGGACTTACTCTTTGCTCCACGGTCACTGCGAAAAATATCAGGTCAGGAAAGGACCTAACATTGAGGAGGAAACCTAAGATGAGGCCGTCGTGCAGTGGAGTCTTGTACACCCACGCCATGCCCAGAGAGATCGCCAGCTTTGCTGTTGTAGACAAGATCACCGTAATGAATACTGGCAAAACTGCAAGCGGCTCTATCGGTCCTGCCCATGAGACATGGGTCATGAATGTAATATACATAGGCAAACAAACAAAGCGCGCCGGGTAGTAGAGCCGGTCCACGAGCGATGTCACCACGCCCCCCTCCCTCGGCACCATAATCCCCAACATGAAGCTCGCCACCATGCCGTTGTATCCCACCACCTCCCCCATGGCCGTGTATGCCAACATGATCCCCATCACCACCATCAGTTGTGCGTCGCTGCCCCTGTCTTGCATCACATGGCACATCAAACGGCCGACGAAGAAGTAGGCCAGCACCGGGTAGGCCAGTGCTATCAAGGGCTCCAATGGGCTCTCCATCATTGAGGCCCCAGAGAGGACAGGCAATAGAGTCATCAGGGCCATTACTGTGATGCAGGCAACATCGTTGAGTACTGCCACCCAGACGCCAAGCTTCCCAACCTCGGTGCTGCCCAGCTTCATCTCAGTGGCCTGTCGGACCAATGCCGGAGAACCTGTGATGGTGAAGAAGAGCGATAGTACAAAGCGGAAGTGGCCACGGCTGGTCCGGGGATCAATCATGTTGTATAACATGTCCGATGTGGCAGTACCTAATGCGGCCGAAAGGGTCACAATGCCCAGTATGTTGAGCCAGGCTCGATGCCCATGGATCCAGATGAGTGATGGGTCCATCTCAAGACCACAGAGAAACGCAACCAGGAGGCCACCAGTGGACGAAAATCCTACCAGTGTGTTCACACCCTCTGGGGAAAAGAGCACCGCCTTCACCCAGCTGATACGACCCAGAAAGAATGGACCTACGACAATTGCAGCCTGCACCCACACAAACACGAGCAACAACAAAAGAGTATGAGACCGCAATTCCGCTTAACTGCTCCATTCATCAAAGATGGGGCAGTCGAAAACTGACGAGGAGCTCGGCGGTGTACTGAGGGAGGCGAATGAGCCTGAGGATCATGTGCCAAAGGCGGACAAGGACCATGAGAGCGCACAACTGCACGAACAGGATGTAGAGCTTCCGTTCGGCCACCCCTTCTACAGAGGAGAAGATGTTGGCAGGGCAGCCGCAGGCCAAGGAGTTTTCTGCAGTCGGGGCCATGGCTCCGGGCGCCTCCGTTCGCGGTGGTGAGAAGCATCATGGGTTGGGTTCGAGCTGAGCGGTGGTGCGGAGACTAATTGGGGTGGTTGTTGACGGGTTGAACGTGTTTTTCGGGTTGGGGCTCACCACCAGCTGTTTACATTCCATACCAAGCTTTGACCCAACCTACTCGCTGCTTACATGCCGCCCGCTCTCCATGGTATCTAAACTTTTTAGCGACATCTTCTTTTTTTGGGCGTGATTATTTTGGGCTTAAAATATATTTTGAAACGAAAAAAGAAATTTCTTTTTTTGAAAATGGAAATTTTTATTATGAAACGTTTAAATAAGTGGGAAAGGGGCTTGGGCCCTAGAGTAGTACCCCCTCTCAATTACCCGAAAAAAAAAAAAAATTTAAATGAGTTATAGGTAATGTGTTTGATAACTTGTTAGAATGCTACAAAACTAGTTATCGATACTAATAACAAATATATATTAACAACATAAATATAAATATATAATATATAACATAATATAATGTCTTTTATATATTTTTTTGGGGAGGATGTGAAAAAACTAAGTTTAATGGTTTCAATAATTTTTCCTTTAATCTATATTTTTTTTTTGAGAAAATAACATCTAGCCCCCTAGCAAAAAATTCATCCTATTAGACCCTCGGATTCACCAGAATCTCATGTACTCCCTCAAGTCTAAAACTTTGGGATGGTTAGCTTCCAAATTTTTTTTTCAAATTTAATCTTTTTGTTTTATAAAATACCAAACTCATCCATTAGTCAACTCCCTCCCCTTTCTTTTCCATTGCCCTTTCCATTGCCCGAAGCTTCTTTTGCTGCATACAACTTATATATTCTCCATATCTAACTATCCATTCTGAATGGATGGCTGAAATGGCCACAATCACAATGTTATGTCTCTACACTATTTTAACAAATTATTTTGACACCAAATTTTGGGGATCCACTTCTCTATTAAACGCGAACTTACAAAAATTATAAAAAAAAATATTCCCAATAAAATAAAATATCCAAATATCCCTTAAAGTTTTAAGTGGTATTTTGGTTATTAAATTTTATCAAAAAATTATTTTTAATATTTTTTTAGATACGCCCCATTGAGAAGATAGCAAGTACCAAATTTCATTTTCATATAATTTGTATAAAAAAAAAAACTAAAAATAAAACTCTGAGGCATCAGATATATCAAACGATCAATAGCTCACTTGAGCTAAATTGGATTGCTGGATGGAGGGGGAAATATATATCTTTAATGTTGTAGGGGAAGTATAAAAACTTTTTCCATTACATATGGGAACCCACTCTACAAATTTAGAATTTAAAAGAAACCGATTTTTTCTATAAGGTCTCATTTGGGAACATGGAGTTTGGGGGATGTACTTTTATTATTTTGTATAATATTGAAATCCACCATTTGGTTTGCTCAGTGGCTACGATATTAAAATTCCATGAAAAAATCTTTAAAATTACCTAACTTTTCTACTATTTCAATTCCACTCCAAAACTTGTTTTTTTGAATTTTCAAGGCCCAATGATTCCATTTGTTAAGGCACATTTGGTAAGAATGAAAATTTTAGAGAGAGAAAGTACCTAAAAAATTATAAAAAGAGAAGCTCTCTCAAAAAAACCTTATAGAAAGAGCCGCATATCCAAGTTGTTACTAGATTTTAACTGTCAGAGGCTTGACACATGTCTAAGGGGCGTCAGCGCCATTGGCAATGGTGCCAGACCCTTCTCTCTCTATTCGAGTTGCTTTTGTGTCTTCCATCATGTGCCACCATTCAAAGCAGCTCCAGCTGTTTGAGAGTACTTCTAACGGACTAACCCCTGGGTAGAATAATAGAGTACCAATCACACGTGTGGACAATGGAATTCCGCACCAATAAACCTAACTTTTGAGCAATCTTGAAAGGTATCCCCATGGCCCCAAAAAACTTGAAAGGGTGGCATTTGATGCTTTAAGAGTGCCCGTTAAGTTTTGTCCCAATCTAAAAAGGATAAAGTAGATCAAGACGAAATTTATATTTCACAGTGCCACTCTCTCTCGTCCTGAAAGTTACCTCAAAACTAGAGTTATACTACCAAGGTATCAGATGAGCACCATACTACTATCATTGGATTCGAAAGGCCCAAAAACCCCCGAATACCAATCTTCAGCTCATTTGGATACTCAAAATTTTCATCCAATGTTACCTCATAACCTCACAACCAGGTCCATTGCGACCATGACTCGAAGGGCTTTGATTTGAGATATGATTTGCACGAGATTGAGGTCAAGAATAAACCTTATTTTTGCTCGCAAGAAGTAATGATTTTCCATCACCAGAATTCTATCTTCTGACGACCTCTTAAATTACAAATGTGATCAAATGAGCACCAAATCAAGGGGTTTTCATTGCAAAATGATCACAACGACCTCTCATTCGATTTGTGATGAAGAAAGTGATCGAAAATACGGCGAAACAAGCAAGATCGAAAGGAAAAAAAAAAAATCAAGAATATGGATTTGGTCAGATTTTGGGATCAACCTCAAACGTTAGGCCTAAGCTCAATAATGGATATCAAATCGATCTTCTCGAGGAGCCTGATACTTTCATAGTGTTAATTCACTCGGAAGTTCGCTGGAAAGCACAAAAAACTGCCCCAAACCATTGGGAAGGCAAGAGGCCCATTTTGAGGGATGTTCCTTATTATGCGTCATTTTTGACATACTTGTATCCCTGGGGAGAATAAGGAGAAAGTTAGTAGTAACCTGGTCCCGTTGGTGCCCAAGACGCCGCCAGACCATGGGAACATTGTAGCAATAAGCCTAAAGTTGGGTGACCTTCGAATAAATGTCAAAATGGCCTAAAATTTCATGAGAATGTAGGTTTAGATACCCTAAGGACACCCACAAAGTTTCGTCGCGTTCTAACGAGTTTTAATATGATCAGGAGGAAACTTGGTTATCAAATCTAGTTCTTGTCATGCTAAAAATTGACCATTTAACTATAGCCCTATTTTCTGAGTCTCAAAACAATATCATACTACCGCCATTGGATCCAGAATGTTGAAAAAACCCCAGGTACCGAATTTTGGCTAAATCGAACCCTCCAGGATATTCTGGGCCTAACCATAAAAAGGTGGGTTTTACACTATTACGGTGCAGCCTTGGTGAATAAGTTGATTTTCAGCTCATAACTCGCTCGTTTTGAGTCCAATTAAGCTCAAATTTGGACACAAGCTAGATCTCGATGATCCGCTCTTTTTGACATATGGCATTCATCATGGAGAGGCCAGAAACAAGAAAATTTCTAGAGAGAAGATGGGCTCGAAACATGAAATTTTAGAATTTAAAAAGAAGAATGTCCAATTCTTTGAGAGGCCATAGGTCAAGATCTCGATGTCGGATCGTCGCAAGTATGGGTCTGTTGCGAGGGTGCTTCGAAGATCTACAGTTTGATATAGTTTTTGTGAATGATTAGAGGCCAAACAATACGAACTCTCCTCTCTTCTCTCTCTTCTTTTTATCTTTCTCTCTCTTCTTTTTCTCTCTTCTTTATTCTCTCTTCTTTTGCTCTCTTCTTTATTCTCTCTTCTTTCTCCCTTTCTCTCTCTTCTTCTTTCTTCTCTCCCTTCTTTCTCTCTTTCTTTCTTCCTCTCTCTCTCTCCTTGCTTGGACCCAGGGCAGGTACGATCCCTCACCCTCCTCCTCTCTCTTTTTTTCTCTCTCCCTCCCTTTCTTTATCTCATCCAGAACCAACCTAGGGCGGGCCCGACATTCCCTTCCCTCTCTTCTCTTATTTATCTCCCTTCCCTCTCTTCTCTTATTTATCTCCCTTACTCCCTCTCTCCCTCTTGCTCAGGACATGGACCCACACCATAACTGGGTCCACCCCTCTCCCACTCTCTTACTCTCTCCTCTCCCCCTCATCTTTCTCACCCATGTCCGCCCTACTCGCCCTATCCGTCCTATACCCCTATCTACGTTATCCTCCCTACTCGCCCTATGCCCCTATCCACCCTACTCGCCCTATCCGCCCTATTCACCCTATACCCCTATCCGCCATACTCGCCCTACACCCCTATTTGCCTTATCCGCCCTACTCGCCCTATCCTCCCTACTCACCCTATCCACCCTATACGCCTATCTGCCCCTCTCTCATCCCATACCTTTGTCCGCCCCTCTCTCATCTTATATCCCTATTCGCCCCTCTCTCACTTATACCCTTTTCCACCCCACTCTCACCTATACACTTTATCTGCACTTCTCTCACCTATACACTATATTTGCCCCTTGTGCATCCGAACTGGCACCATAAACGGGTGCATCATTCCTCAATCCCATTCATCCCACTTTCTATCACTTTAAACATTCCCTTCTCTCTCTAACTCACAATTTAACTTCTCACCCATTTACTTTATTTTTATTTCATCATCTCTTCATTTCTCCCTTTGCTCGTTGCTTCTTTCACCTCTTGATCACTCGATTCGAGGTCATCTTGAGATAATGTCCTAAGTTCTAACTCTCAGATTTCTACTCTAACCATTAGCTCGTATAGTGAAGTCAGGTCATAAGAGACACTGATTCTCTTACACTTGGTCACTCGGGTTGGGGTCATCTTGAGTTAGCTTTTTTTAGAGTTATGACACTTTCACTACTCTAAATACCGAATCATACAGTGTTTGGGTACTGAGAGACTTTCATCTCTCTCTCTCTCT